TGGCGATTAAAGCTGAACCAGCTCATCCCCTATCCGTTAAGTCAAAAAACAACTCTTCGTACAGGTCAACTTGTTAAATTGTCTTGTGGGTACTTACCTAGACGGCTATGACACCAAACTGAACGAGTCTGTGCGATGCGCCGCTCTTTTATAGCTGAAGTCTCGCTCGCTTGTCCTGTTGCCCACATGTTCTGTGTGTTTACATGTGCTTATGTGTATACTTAGCTTAGGTTGGCTGCAGTCGCAACCTTAGTTACGACTTGCATGCTCCTGCTTATACATAACTTGATATCACTTACATCTAACTTATTATTATGTTTATTCAAATTTCGACGCCACAGGCATCCAGATACCAAATCGCGTGATTCAATCACCGTTAGGTATGTGAGTGCTTGTTCCTTCTATGCCACTGTGTTTGCATATGCTTGTTTTGTTTTGTGTGTTTCTACATGTGTGATCGTGTCTTGTATATTTTGTGTAATATTGTGTGTGTGTGTTTGTGCTCTTTGTACGGATATTGGTGTGCATTGCTATGTGTGACTCTGACGTTTATTTGTTTTGTCTGATCGTACATTCGTTGTATAGCCCAAGGGTTTCTACCTGATTGTATACCCTAACGGGGTTTATGCAGTAATGCGTAATACGTAAGCGTTTCTATCGTTCGCTTACACAGTTTTAAGGCATACAGATTTCTGTATGTTACTATGGCCTAACAGTACTATAAAATGCTATGCGTGATTCTTTGGGTATGTGAGTTTGCATGAGCGAGTATGCTTATGCATTGCTTAGCATAAGGGTTTCTACATGCTTAAATGATCTAACGGGATTTATACCGTAATGCGTAATATGTACGCGTTTCTATGCAATTCTAAGGCATACAGATTTCTTCTTATTTCATCTGGTTTTATACCTGTGTTTGACTAAGGTTTGAGTTATATGACTCGTAAGTTCTACGGCTTTGGTTTGTGTCGTATAGCTCTTATGCCTACCTATTCTGTGCTTTGGCGGTTGTGTGGATATTGCCTATGGTTTTGTGTCTAAGTTCGTTTGTGTTGTATGATCTTGCATGTCCTATGCCTACGAGCCATTTCATGCAAATTTTCTTCATTCTCTTTACCCTTCGTTTGGTGCTGGAGTGTGTTCCTATGGATTAACTAGCGTAGGCCTGTGCAATATGTGTCTATACATTTTCTCCTTATCCAAGTATGAGCACATTTCGTGTGTGTTTGAGCACATTTTGATTTTACAAGAATCGTTTTGAGATTTTAATTTTATAAAAGTAGGTGTGTGTTTTTATGTGTGTTTTGAGATTTTAATTTTACAAGAATAGGTGTGTGTTTTTATGATCTTACGTTTGTAAGTATAATTTATGATTTGAAGTTGGAGGGGGCTGCTCGTGTATTGTTCACAGAACGACATGCGTGGGCAGATCGGACTTGCTGACTGCGGGGTGCGGGTGGACTTTTAAGCGGACGGACTTGTATTTCGTAAGGAAGCAAAAACGCTTCCTTACAGTATCTAATGTATGGTCAGTATCTTATATAGGAAATAACTTAATAATAACTTAAGCAATATAACTAAAGTAGGTTATCGCTAGAATAATAACGTAAGCATATAATATTATATTAATAGCTTATTACTAGAATTACATTATCTTAACTAGGTTAGGTGTAAAATGTAAACTTAGCAATAACTTGT